TTTCTAGTCTCTCTCTCTCACACACACACATACTCTCTATGTCTCTTCTCATTCTTCTCTCTGTCTCTCTCTGTCTCTCTGTCTCTGTCTCTCTCTCTTTCTCTCTCTCTCTGGCAATAGCCAGAACAGCTGTCAGATCCTCCTGAGCTGGAGTCACAGGTGGTTGTAAGCCATCTGCTGTGGGTGCTGGGAACCAAACTTGGGTCTTGGCCTGAGCTGTTGACTGCTGAGTTGGCTCAGTTAGCTAAATCATCTCCTCAGGGCAGGGATGGCTTCATGGAACGACTTCCTTTCTGTTCTGTGGAATTGTTTGAGAAGCATTGGTGTTCACTTTTCCCTAAAGATCTGGTAAAACTTGGCTGTGGATCCATCCAGTCCTGGGCTTCTCTTTATTTTACAAGCATCTGAGACCTCAGATAAATTTAATAGTGCATCTCAAAATCTTAAAAAAATAATTCAGTTAATCTTTAAAACATACAGTTTGCAAAAACTGAAGCAAGGGGATATGAACAACCTGAAGAGAGAGATCAATAACTAATGATGAGATTGATGTTGCCTGAGGTCTCAGATGTTTGTAATGTTGTCCCTCAGAGCGATTTGGGTTCCTTGGTTTTGCTTTGCTGGACTTCATGGATTCTGATCACATTTTCATTTGATCATAGCATTTAACAATACTCTGATTATTTGGGGTAAGTTCTTCACTCTCCACACTCTTAGATCTGTTTCTCCCTGCTGTTGATTTCTCATTCCATCTCATTATGATTAGATAAGATGTAAGAAATTATTCCAGTTTTCTGTATTTGCTGAGGCTTGCTTCATGGCCTAAAGTATGATGTACTTTGAAGAGTGTCCCAAGAGCTGCAGAAAAGAGCATGTATTCTGTAGTTGTTGGATGGGAGAGTCTGCAAGTTTAAGACTGTTTGGTAGCTAATGCAGGATGACACTGTTTTTTTTTTTTTAAAGACATATTTGACTCATTTATGTCTCTCTCTCCCTCTGTGTGTGTTTGTGTGTGTGTTTGTGTATACATGCACACATGTGAAGGTCAGAAGAGAGCATCAGGCCCTCCTCTATCATGCTCTTCCTTGTGCCTTTGAGCCTGGGTCTCTCTGAACCTTGGGCTCATGGTGTTTTTTTTTTTTTTGCCTGTTCCAACGATCCCCCTTTTTTCCTAACCCCCACTCAGGGACAATGTTAGAGCCATTTGTGATGAGCCCCAACTTATTGTGTAGGTACTAGGTTCTTAACTCCAGCCCTCATGACTTTGGAGCAAGTGCTCTTCACCATGGAGCTACAACCTCTCTAGCCCAACACTGGTGTTTGTTTACTGATATTTTCCCTTGGATGGTGTTGGGATATTGAAGTCTGTCCTAGTTTGATTTCCATTATAATGAGAAATACTATGACAAAAAGCAACTTGGCTTTATTTCATCTTATACTTCTAGGTATAAGTCCATGCCTGAGGGAAGTCGGGGCAGGGACACAAGGCAGATTGTAACCCAGATGTGTAAGGCACATACACTCTTTTCTCTCCTAAATTGCTTTGGCCAGCGTGTTTCATCAGACCAACAGTGAAAGAAATTAGAACTGGGCATCCCCATGTGGTATGGAATGATGAGCTTCTTGCTGTTATGGGGGGCGGTCATATCCCTGCAGTGAATGATAAAGCATGTTACAAAGGCCAAGCCATCTGAGGGTGGAGTATCCTGGGAACAGGTTCTGGAGTGGGCACCTTCCTGTATGTAGAAGCATGCCTCACTGACCCACAAAGTCTGTCTTGTGAATAAGAAGACACACTCAAAGGCTGATGGTCTAGATAATACTTTTTAATCCCTAAAAAACATATGCATGGGGCAGGTTCATAAGCAGACTCTGGCAACTGCTGGGTGGCTTTTGCTGTGTACATAAAGAAATGCAACCGAGGCTCAGCTGTCTGCCCATAAAGAGCTCGCCTACACCACAGGGAAAACGAGTGCAGACGCTCTCCTCTGCATCAGCCTCAGGCTTGCCAGGAAAAGTGGGACCTGCAAGGATGAGAAGGACGTTTCAGTTTGTCATTTTATACCGTCGGCAGGATGCAAAGGAAAGAACAAGTTAGATGTGTGCTGAAGAGCTCTTGCTGGGGTTTTGGAACCAGTGAGAGGATTCAGTGAGTAGAGAGAGAGAGAGAACAAGGTAGAAAGGATAGAAAATATCCCTCAGGCCCAACCTTTAATACAGAGGAAGTGAAAAACTTTGACCTGGCATGCAGAGTGGGTCCTGATAATGGCCGAGCACAGGAAACTGTGACAATCAAGGAATATCCCACATCTGAATTACTTGAATGGAAAATGCTTTTAAACAGGGAGTAAAAGTGCATCTTGCAGCCTGGCTTGTGCAGCTGTGGATGGGAGGGTCAATAATATCAGTCTGAGTGCTGATAAAACTACTCCCCCCACAGCATAATCTGCATCAACACAAGGGAAATAGTCCCTGATGCACTGGGTGTTTAAACCATTAAGAACACTCTCTTAATGCCAGTCGCTGTGAGGAGAATAAAGGAATGGCAGGCATTTATGATGCAACCGAGCATGAAAGATGATATATTTGATGCCCAGTTTACTGGACCAGGTAGGTAGGTGTGTGTTCACAAGGGAGTTAAGAGACAGGTTGATTTCGCATGGGCCTCAGGACTAGTATGGGGTTTGTCTTAGTTACTTTTCCACTGCCATGGCAAGACGCCACGATGAAGACAACTTACAGAAGAGAGCATTTAATGGGGCTTACAGTTTCAGAGGGTCATGGGGCGGGGGAGCATGGCAGCAGACAAACTGGCATGGTGCTTGAACAGTAGTGGAGAGCTCACACCTGAGCCACAGCACTAAGCAGGGAGCTAACTGGGAATGGCATGTGCTTTTGAAACCTCAAAGCTCATCCCCATGGACACACCTCCCCTGACAAGGCCACACCTCCTAATCCTTCTCAAATAGGTCCACCAACACGGAACCAAGTATTCAAATGTATGAGCCTATGGAGGCCACTCTCCTTCTGCGTTTTAATGACTTTGCTGAGCTCTATGGATAGGACATAATCCTTTGTTGTCTGTTTGTTTTTCAAGACAGGGGGATGGAGAGATGGCTCAGCGGTTAAGAGCACTGACTGCCCTTTCAGAGGTCCTGAGTTCAATTCCCAGCAACCACATGGTAGCTCACAACCATCTGCAATGAGATCTGGTGCCCTCTTCTGGAATGCAGGCATACAAGCAGGCAGAACACTGTATACATAATAAATGGGGAAAAAAAGACAGTGTTTCTCTGTGTAGCCCTGGCTGGCCTTGAACTCACAGAGATCTGCCTGCCTCTGCCTCCCACTGCCTCCCAAGTGCTGGGGATAGAGGGGTGTGCCCCACCATCGGGCAATAGGTCATAATCTTTACAGGGTAGGAGAGACTATGACAGGATAGTGCTATAGGCATGGGCACGAGAGGGTAAGGGGTCCAGGACCCCTAGAGGTAGGTTTTCACCTTGGGGGACCTCATCCCCACTCAGCACTTCCCTTTCCATTCCATTTGCCATGGGTGTCCCAGTTTACAGAGGGTGTCTTGCCCACCCTGCCCCTCTGCAGGCTTTTGCAGAGCTGTATCTGATCTATGATAATATGGTAAGTACAGGCACAGGCCCTGCCCTCCAGAGACCCACAGCCTGCTGGGTACACGAGGCTACAGGACGGAGGGGACCCAATCCCGGTTCTCAAGATAGGGTCTTTGATGCCAGGAGATACATGCTTGGGTAGTGATGGGAGGAACAAACAGGTCAGGGCAGGAGACACTGGCAGATGCTTGAGGGACACGCAGAGAGAAGTTGATCTCATTAGATCGTGAATGGATGAGGTAAGGGTTAGGAGCTGAGACAAGATAGCTACATCCAAACTGCAAAGTGGTACAGTAGCTCAGACCCTAAGGGCTGGGAGATGGAGGCCCTGTTGCCTGGTCCAGCCCTCAGTGTCCAGAGGAGGACACTGTGTACAAATGAGGAAGCCTGGGCTTCCTGACACATGCCTGAGGCTGTTCTGCAGAAAGCTGCGTTTAGCAACCACAATGACGGGAAGCTTTGGAGTCCGAGGGTGCCAGCAGCCAGTCAGGTGCCTAGGGCCTGCAGTCTGGGGATGCCTCTCCCTCCCTCGTCTCCTGTCTTGGGGTGGGCAGACACTGTGGGTCTCACATCCGCTCTTCAGTCACAGGAAACTGTTCTTTCACTTCCTCTCCTCCATACCCACTGAGCTTCCGGGGGGGGGGGTGGCTCTTACAACACACTAAATGTCTCCACTTGGGACAGAGACATCAGTCTGACACTGCCCTGGGGTCTGGTGTGGCATATTGGTGGCTGATGCTGCTTGATGAATCCTGTACTGGTCTTGACCCAGACCCCTTCCTGTCCCTACCTGCCAGCCTGCTCTCTGTCCCTGCAGAGTCCATCCCAGCTCCGCCTCCTCCAAGCTGCAGAAATCTGCACCGTTCCCTGGTGGCCACGTGCATCCAGGCCCAGCTCCCGGTCTGCTAGCCTCGGTCACCTTGAAGAGTCAGACTCCAGCATCAAGGGACGTAGCAGTCTTTTCAGAGTCCGGGGACAGAGATTCTTCTTCAGATCAGCTCTCTGCAACATCTCCGGGGCTGGGGCTCAGATGGGGACTGTGACAGCAGAGGGAAAATGTGTATGGCGAGGCTGTGGATCTGAGGGCAGCAACCCAGCCAGGTTGATGGTGCTGCCCCCCTCCCCCCGAAAGAGCACTTTACACACAGCTCAAGGACAGAATGACAAACTTTATTAGAAATGTTCCTTGCTCATAGGTCACATTCACATCAGAGTGGAGGCTGTGCTGTCTGGCTCTGGCATCCCACACTGTGACTATTTCCAGTTACACGTGAGTCCGGGTGGGGAGTTATCTGGAACACGCCAAAGGTGCTGAATGGTGGTGCTGGCAGCAGCAGCAACATTCTGTGAGAAGATGGGTCTTAGGCCCTGAAGAGACTGTGTCACACCTACCCCTTTCCAGTCCCAAGGCCACACCACAGGCCCCAGATGATAAATAAACAGCATGTCATACACATATTGGAAACGAGACACAGATTGTGGAAGTCTCCTAAAGTGGAAAAATAATTTGCTCAAAGAAAGCTCTGTGACAGCCAGGTTTCACCCTGAACGATGGTGGCTAGAGCCCTGGACACTCAGGGTGTCACAGACTTGGTGTCCTGAGCCCCACCCCCTTCCTTAGCACCTTTGGGAGAAAGCCATCTTCACACACTCCTCTTTCAAAATGCAAATGCTACCTAAAACAATCATACCCAAGAACAAACTCTGTTCCCACGGCAAGTCATCATCAGACTAGTGTCCCTGAATAGAGGGATGGGGACAGCCAAAGGCCCCTATCGCTCAGTGGTGGAAGAGGGCAGGGAGGGATGAGGGAGCCTGATCAGAGAGGAAAGCCCAGGTTCTTCGAACTGCTGTGGTCCCTGGTGACTTGTCTCTCAAAGTGGTTCTGAGTCTTACATTGGAAGGACTATCTCCCTGCCCGGGCCAGGGGCAGGCAGGGAGGGGACCATCAAGGACTTGCTTCCACCATTCATTATTCAGAAGCTATTTTCTCTCCACTGGCCAATTTCCCTGGGCCTGTCTGCAGTGGGGAGTAAGACGCCGTCTCCTGCCAAATGTTTTATTCATTCCCTTGAGGAAGAAGTGGTCCTCCGCTCTGGCTGACTGGGAGGCCTCTGGTCCCGGCTGATGATGGCAGCACTTGGGCCCTGGCAGCCACAGTGGCAATAGGCATTCCTTTTCCAAGTCAGTGACACATCCTGATGCTCTGGAGCTAGGTGCTGTGTGACCACAGGTGATAGCAGGCCTTCAAGCACCGCTCACTGGTACTGCAGATAGTTTTTGAGAGACTGAGGCAGGGGTAGGGAGCCGATGTCTCGAAGGCGCTGTCTGCCCAGGGCTGAGCGGATGGATCTCCGACACAGGTCCATCAGCGGCAGGGGCTCCGCTGCAAAGACAAAGACAGCAGAGTGTGAGTGCCTGCCCACACCTCCTCACTCGGCCCAGGTTGCCAGGCCCTTGACCCTGAACTAGCTCAGGGGCTCCTGTTGCTAAGGAGCCATCCCTGCTTACAGTAAGAGGCCCTTGGCAAGTTTAAGAAAGGTGGAACAGGGCTAGTTAGACTAGAAGATTTGGAATAACCAATGGTGAAGAGTGTAAAGCTGCAGAGAAACCCTGTCTCAAAAAAAAAAAAAAAACAGGAAAAAAAAAAAAAGATTAATAGTGAAGTTAGGTGGTGGTGGCACCTGCCTTTAATCCCAGTACTCAGGAGGCAGAGGCAGACCAAGCTACACACACACACACACACACACACACACACACACACACACACACACACACACGATTAATAGTGATCTTAAACTTATGCATAGCAAGGTAAGTTCTGATGTAGAGTGTTTGGTTCAAAAGTGTTTGGGAGAGGTATCTTTTTAAAAACAGTAATTTGTTTCAGGAGGGTGAGGCAGGAGGGCCATTTGAGCCCAGAAATTCAAGGCCAGTCTGGGCAACACAGCCAGACCCTATTTCAAAACAAACAAGCAAACAGGATAGAGTCCACAAGCTTTTGAAATTCTTTCAAACCCTCACACTTTCCCTGATGGGCAGTGTGCAAGAACACATTTTCTTACAGCATTCAAGTTCTAGAAATATCCATGAACTAAAATCCACCAGGGGCCTGGAAGGGGCTCAGGGGAGCAAAAGCACTTGCCACACAAGCCTGGTGGTGACGTGATATTGATCCCCAGAAGTCCCTTAAAAAGCCGGATGCAGTGACAGACATCTTAAGCCCAGCACTCCTATACTGAGATAGAAAACAGATGAGAGATCCCAACCCAACCGGGTGGGAGGAGGGAGCCTACTCTTCAAAGTTGCCCCCTGACCTTCACATGCACACCATAGTGCACTTACCCAACCCCCAAGAGTAAAAACCAAACCAAACCATAGCAGGAACACCTCTGGATACAGGACAGCTTACTGAATTACCCATGCTCACCTAGGGTACTCATACTAACACTTATCTCTTCCAGGTCCTCTGGTAACTCTGGAGGTACAGAGAAAACTAAGCCGGGACCAGAGCCAGCGCTGGGGTGAGCTTGTAGTCTGTGATTTTCTCATGATCTGGGATTTTAAAGTAAATGAATGATTTTTTTTTGTTTTTAATTTTGTATATATGGGTGTTTTGCATGCATGTCTATCTGTGTACCGTGTAAATGCCCACAGAGGCCAAAAGAGGGTGTTGGATACCCTGGAATTGGAGTTACAGATAGTTATGAGCCACCAGGTTTGGGGCTGAGAATTAAACCCTGGTCCTTAGGAAGAGCAGTCAGGACTCTCAACCTCTGAGCTGTTGCTCTAGCCCCAGTAAGTGAGTTATTTTAAAAGTGTTAATATATAAAAAGAACTCCTGAGTATATAGGGACAGAAACTAGGTAGCTGCTGGAAAGCTTCAAGGCTAGAAATCTGAACAGGGTTTTGAAGGATGAGTAGGAGTGTTATAAACACATGAGGCTGGGCAGTATTATTGTCAGGGAGAATAGGCAAGGACCAGGAAGTCAGGGAAGCTGAGGAGGGGGACAGGGCTGGCAGCTCAAACAGGCCAGTGGAGAATGAAGAGGACAGTGGTCCCATGTCACCTCATGTGGCTGACATGGGCCCTAGATGCTTGCACTGCAGGTAAGTGTTCTTTTGGTAGTGGAATACGTAGGATTTTTGAAAGCATTAGAAGTCATGGTCAAATCCTAACTAGCAAACACAAGTGTGTCAACTGTATGAGAGTGGTATCAGGAGGGATGGGGACAATGGCAGCTGGGTCCCAAGGGAACGTCTGTTAGAGATGCAGTTCCAATGGACCCCATGAGTGTCAGAGGCCATGGTCAAGGACACATCTTGCTGTCTCTTCCTTATCTTTTGATTCTCATACAGAATGAGGCTAGCCAGAGGACTCCAGCCACGCACCCTGACCTGACCTGTCCCCCATAGAGTCTCACTCTATTACACCTCCAACTCTCCCTACCCTTGTCTGTCACAGCACCAATGCACATGTTGCCCTGCCCTATTAACCAAGCCCCTCCTCTAATCCCTCTGCCTTTAATACCTGGCTGGTCACTCAGCAGGGATTGTGAGGTATAAGATATGCTTGTCGCTGTTTTCTCCTGAAGGATTATTACGTGGCCGTTATAATTTAAGAAATGCAGAGCACGAAAGATGCCATGAGACAGGGTTCAAGCAGAGAGGTTTTTTTTGTTTTGTTTTTGTTTCTGGTTTTTTTTTTTTAAATTAGGGGAAGGGATCATAAAAAGGGGAAAGGGAAAATGGATGGGGGAGACCAGCCTCCAGGGACAGGAACATCAGGAGAGAGGAAGGGAGGAAGAGAGAGGGAGAGGGATGGGGAACAGGTAGAGAGGGGTAGAGAAAGAGGGATGGGAGGTGGGCAGGGGCCTTTTAATAGGGAGCATAGTGAATATGCACAGGTGGTGCTCTTAGTGGCTGTAGCTGGGGACGTATCCTATCAGAATCCCAAGGGCAGGGCAGTACAGATGCCTGAATACTAACAGTGGTCATAGGCACACTAAGCTCTTTGGGGTGGGGGGAGGCTCAATTCACATGAACCCCTGGGGGCAAGAAATATTCTGATTATATTTTAGGGAGGCAGAAGCTGAAACAGGATGCACAAGCCATTTACCTAAGGATGCACAGCTGGTAAGTAGAAAGATTAAGACTCAAACTCTCAGCACTGAAAGAGCAAGGTAAACTAGAGAGGAAGGAGTTAACTCAGAAAAAGCCACCTTAAAAGATTCCCTTGGTGGCACAAGGCTGACTCAGCTCCAGCCAAGGAGCTATAAACAGTTCCAAGGAGCACCCAAACTGTGCCCAGGCCAGTCAAAGCAATCCTACTGGGTGGTCAGGCAATGACTAATTTTGGTAAATAACATCTTCTTGCCACAACCATCCTTGTGGGCAACTGTTAGTAACAATCTTGAAATTCCCCTAGACTCCCATCAATAAAGTCACCTACTCTTACCCAGTCCTGAACACCAAGGCACGTACCACCCTGCTTGCAGTTTTTTTTTTTTTTTTTTTTTTCTCCTTTAAAAATCCCTTCCAATTGAGGCCAGACACCCTTTTCCTGCAGCTTCTGCGCCAGTTTGCTGGACAGGGTCCCTGCCCAGGCTTGTAGCTTAACAATAAACCTTGTGCTTTTGCATCGGTGAGTCGGCTCCTTGGTGGTCTTTTTGAGGTCTCACGAACTTGGCATACCAAAACCAGAATCTGGAACTTGCCTTTCATCATACCCACATTCACTGCACATCGGCTGAGCGTATCTCACTGAGGTCTTGAAGCAGAGCCTTCTAAAGTCAATGTGCTACTCATTCCGGGCTGAGAGAAAAGGAAACTGAGGCTTGGAGAGCAGAGTCTTGTCTAGAGTTGGACCGCCCCTCCCCTGACACTAATAAAAAGGTGAGCTTGAGGGGCAATAAAAGCGCAATCACTTGTCTTCTAGACTCTTGGCAGACTGCGCCACAGCCTCCGGCCACTTTCCAGGTCACTCTCATGGAGGGGCCCCAAGGACAGGTGATAGCTGGGATGAGCCTCTCAAGTGAAATTTTAAGCTAAAGAGAAGCATGTTGTGTGTGACTCTATAGTCCCTATAGTCCAAAAGCAGCTGATGATGATGTTCAGGGCTTGGACAATGATGTTCGGGGTGTAGTGAAGGGGTTGGGGTGGGTGGCTTTCAGGCTTGTGTGTTCAGCTGTCCTTGCCAGCTTGCCTTGATGCCAGTAGGCAGGCGCTTGAGATCCAGACATTTTCTTCACCTATTACTCTTCAAAAAGAAGTTAGATCTGAAATGAAGATGCTACTCACTGAGTTGGGCCTTAGCTCCTGGGGATGGGGGCGGGGATGAACACACATGCCAAGCAAGAGTAAGTGAAAAGGATAAAGGAGGCTAGCTTGGAAGCCCAGCTTACACTCAGCCCAGCCAGCCAGAGGTGGCTGCACACTTGTCAACTGTAAAATGGGACAGACAGTATGACAGCATCACATCATGGACTATATAGTGACGATGGCATGGCATAGCCTGCCCTTTGCTGAAATACACGTTGGAGCCATTATCTTAGGAGGTATCTATGGAAACATTTACACTGTTGTTTAATGTGCTTCTAAAAATGTCTCAGGATGCTACCCTGCTACCCTACTGACAGCCACCTTCTGCTCTTGATGAAGACTCACCCAGGCCAGTGAGGGAAGCCTGGTTCTGTGCTACAAACATCTCAGTCCCGGGTAAACTCCCCTCAGTTCGCCATCACTAACCCCTGTACAACCTGAGGTGAACCTCAGGATCTCCAGGGACTCTGCTGTCATCTGCAAAAAGGGCAACTTGGCTCATGGGGTTAGCTCCCAGTTTGTTGTCAGGGATGCAGACAGGTGGCAAGGCTGGCACAGAGAAGGGTGGCTTCAGCTGACTCCTCAGGCCTCCCCACCTGCCATGGACAGGCTAAGATGTGAGTCCCCGGCTACCATCATGCCCACATTCATAGTTAAAGTCACAAGGTGACTGTCAAACAATGGGAGTCAAATGGAAAAACACTGAGTGACAGCCTTGAAAGCTGACCTGAAGACCTGGGTGCTTGTTTGGTTTTCATAAAGGAAACAAGGAGATACACGGGTGTCTTGCCTGCATGTATATTTGGGTACCACTTGTACTCCTGGTGCCCGTGAAGCCAGAAGGCACTGGGTCCCCTGGAACTGGAGTTACAGTACACCACATGGGATTTGAACCCTGGTCCTCTGGAAGAGCAGTCAGTGCTCTTAATTGCTGAGTCATCTCTCCAGCCCCATGCACTACAATTATTCAAATATGAGGATGCTGGGAAGACAATAGCTCTAGGGGACAGCCTGGGCTCAACACTGGTGCCCTTCCCAGCTAAAATGACAAAAAAAAAAGACGTG